AATGCTCACAGCATACTACATAGCTCAGCTATGAATATATTACCATCACAATGTAAACATCAAATAATGATTAAATTAAAAATATTTAAAGGATTTGGGAAGGGGAAGAAATGGCAATATTTTAAGAGATCATCAAATCTTCATCATTCATTACTGAAAACAACTAATCTAAAACTGGAACATCAAGAAGCAGCAGCACAAGGATTTTATTTAACGGCACAAAAGGAGATACCAGAAGAAAACTGAAATATTTAAAAGTAGTTATAAAAAAAAAAAGTATTTGTTTCTAGGGAGGCAGAATCAAGAACAGAGTAGGAAACTCTGCTCCTCATTATAAACCTTGCAATACCATCTAAATTTGTTTAAAAATATATATATGCATATATATACAGCGTGTGTGTTTGTGTGTGTGTGTGTGCACGCATGCGTGTATTGGCCTCTGATACTATGTGTAATGAGACTTCAATCTCCTGGTCAGAGGTCCTTAATTCAGGCTACTGTCACAATGATCTATGGAGCTTTCCTTAAAAGCAGAGTTAACCTGGGCATCACCTTAAAGATTCTCCTTTTCTAGATCTAGGGAAAGGCTTGGGAATCTGTGTTTGTTTGTTTTTTAATCTCAAAGGTGATTCTGATATACAGCTAGGGTTGAGAACCCCTGTCCTTAGGGTAATATACTAAAAATACTAATAAAAATTGGGATTGTAATCATAAACATTCATTTACCATTACCCATTTTTTTAACTTACACTGTTAGGAACGATGCTGTTACTGCCTTGTCTGTGAGGGTCCATCCTGACTCCTGTAGGAATGGGAAAGTTCAGATTGATAAGCTCTAAATTAGCTTTAAGAAAATACATCACAATCAAATATTTTTAAAAGTTATATATTAAAGGTTTAAAAAATAGTATCTTAATCAAAGTTTATCTGTTTTTTTAATAGTCTGCTTAATAGTTGGCTGAAATCCTTTTTGGAAGAACATGTAAAACTAAATTTGCTTTACTTTCCAAATGCCTGTTAATTAAAAATACTTTTGAAAACAGCTGAAATACTTATGAAAGCTAATTAAAACCGTCTCCTGAAGTCAAGTAGCTTGTCAAATTAAGAAAGTACATCAAAATGAACCACAGAAAAAATATTCTACCCTACACGTCTATGTGTTCTACTACATTATAACGGTAAGATAGTCAAGTTTTAGAGTTGAAACATAATATACATTTGATTTGCTGGGCAGGAAACATCAGAGCATAAAATTTCTTAAACCAGGCCTAATCACAGGGTTTTTCTACACTATCTTTTTTTAAGCATATGAGCATACAACATTTAAGTGTGAAAACTATGTTACCTTGCATATTTGGCGAAGCTGAAGAATCTGATGATGCAGCTTGGTACGGCAAGTCTGTATTCAACTGCAAAAGATAGCCCTCCACTGTAGGCACTTCATCCCACTTGACGTGAAAAGAGTTGGTAGTGGCTTTGATCAGTTGTACTTGTGAAGGTGCTGGTGGTTTCTCTAAAGAACAATATTGGTATTATATATTTAAGTTTCAAATATATCAACAGGTTACCTACATAGCTTGTATGGACCTGGAGTTCTAAAAACATCAGCAATGAATACTTCATCTGTTTACTAAGAGGGAGAAAATTTACTCAGATAAACATAGCTATAGTAGATCAAATGAAAATAATTTGGTGTTCTGATTTTATTTACTTAATTCCTTATACACATAAATCTCCAAACAAAATAGTCCAGTTCCAAGCTGAGTCATCAAATTAAAAAAAAAAGTTTAATCCTAGAAGGAGAAAACTAAGTACGTTATAGTTATAGCTACATTACTTTATCTTCTTTACAAGTTTTTAATTTTATGAGTCAATTTTTATCCAACAGCATAAATGTTAGAAATACTATTAATGTTAGCAAAAATGATTTGGACATGGTATTTTGGAAAAACATAATTTCTTTGAAGTTAATACTCTCTTATTAAAACTCGTACTACCCAAAATATGTAATTATTTTGGCATAAAATATTACCAACATTTCTAAAACAAATAACAATCACAGACTTTCAGAACTGGAAAAAAGGACCTAAGATTACTTTACAATATCCCTGTCTTCTTTTTGTTTATCTACCAAATCAGGGAACTCACAAATCCCCAGGCAGTACATTACATCTTTGGATAAGTTATATAAGAAAATTCATTCTTTTAATGAGTTGAAATCTATAAGCTATAATTTAATCTTTATATAACAAATCTAATATCTACCTCTTTGTATCTTTTAAAGTAGGAGTCAGCAAACTGTGGCTCATGGGCCAGATCCAGTCTGTGCCTGTTTTTGTAAATAAAGTTTTATTGAAACACAGCTATGCTCATCTGTTTATGTATTGTCTATGATTGCTTTTATGTACAACAGTAGAGCTGAGTAGTTGTAACAGACACCATATGCCCCACAAAGCTTAAAATATTTACTCTCTGGGCCATTACAGAAAGCCTGATGAGTTAAAATTATCCCTAAAAGGGATAATTAAGCCTAGTTCCTTCAACTATTCAGACGTGAATTCCTCCATGATCCCATTCACAATCTAGTTTATTTGTATTTCTTAAAGTAAGGCAAACCACACCTGAACAAAAGCAGACAACAAGAAGACAAGTCCAGGAGGTATACCACCCAGATAATAGAAGTTACATGAAACGAGAATAGAGAAAACAGAAGGGTGCAAATCAGCAAAATAAATCAAGAAAATTCCCAGAATTGAAGAACATGAGTTTCTAGACTGAGAGGGCCCACTGAGTACTCAACACAATAGATTAAAAATAGACACACAACAAGACACATCATCACAAACTTTAAGAATAGGAGGACAAAGAAAAAATCCTAAAAGCTATCAGACATGAGGGGAAAGGTCATATTTAAAAGGAACAAAAATTAGAAGTGGTTTAGATTTCTCAAGAAAAACACTAGAGGCTTGAATACAATATAACAACTTTCAAAAAAAATTCTGAAGGACAATGATTTCTAATATAGAATTCAATATCCGTGCAAACTTTAATTTAGTAGGAAGACTAAATAAATTTTCACATAATGCAAGATCTCAAAATAAATTTATCACTTGTGTATCCTTTTCCTGGGGTGTGTTCTAAAAATAATGAGGGAGTAAACTAAGAAAGGGAAAATATGAGATCCAGGAAACAGGGAGTCCAGCACAGGTGAGAGGCAAAAGATATCCTCAGAAAGATGATGAAGAGAGACTCCAAGATGGTAAGTGCACTCGACTTGTGGAAGGCAAACATCCCAGACTGAAGGAGGGGAAATTTCTTCAAGATGAGGAAATGTGATAGAATATCTGATGCATCTCACCATAATGAAAGATTTAAACAAACAAAAAGGCACAGATTGAATTAGTGGTAAGTACGTGCAAACTGAAATCAAAGTGAGGTTTATTAATCCATGGCAAATAAAAAACTGTGCAAGGAAGCTATTCACAGTATTCTCTACATGGCACACCTGTGAGCAGCGTTTATATGGTCATAATATGAACACTGAACATTCATCTAACAAAATTAAGGTGTACTCATATTTAGAGAATGGGGATAGGGAAGGTACATAGGAGAGGTGAAGAGCTGTGAGAAGAAGAGAGAAATCCTTAAGTCCCACAGTAGAAAGTGGCATATCACGCCTAAACTAAAAAAAGTCAAAGTAATAAATTCATGTTATATGGAGGTATGGAAGTAAATATCGTAAGAACTGTTTAACAGAGCTGAAAGCACATACTTGTGACGCAACGAAAACAGGAGGAAAGTGGGAGCAAAAGACCACTACTTTTCATTAAAAAGCCTTATGATATATAAAAATATAGATTTTAAAAATTTCTTCTGTATAGCACAAGGAGCTATATTCAGTATCTTGTAATAACCTTTAATGAAAAAGAATATGAAAATATATATATGTAAATGCATGACTGGGACATTGTGCTCTACACCAGAAGCTGACACATTGTAACTGACTATACTTCAATTAAAAAAATTTTTTTAAAGCCTTATGGAAGTACATTACTCTTTTAAATGTTAGCAAATGCACAAAACTTAACTAAGAGTGAAAAAAGGCAAGATAAAGAACCCTTCTCCCCCTCAACCCACCCAAACTGATGCCAATTTAACAAGAGGAAAAGCAAAACATAAATTTTGCCTTTATGATAGTGACCATAATTACTTTTCAATAGATATTTGTGTCTACAGCCTTTAATGGAAAAACTGGCCATTCAGAGCCATGATTTTCAACCTTTTAAAAGTCACAGGTCTCTTAGAGAATCTGGTTAGACATATTTGCTATTGAGAAAAATTTATAAGTGCACATTTTTCTTCTAATCTCAGAGATTGAAGTTTATCCTTGGACTTCAGTTAATAATTCCCAATTTCAAAGCTTCAGTAAGTTGAATTTTCTATTTTTTCCCCTATTTGTGAGTATGTACTTCTTCTACAGAGAACACTTACTGTTTCTTTTATTATTTTTTCTATTATCTTAATTTTAAAATTAAGCTTTCTACATTATAAAAGCAATGCATGCTACTGTAGAAAATACAGATAAGAGAGAAAAACTTCATGAGAGTATACAATCTTACCTCTTAGATAATACTTTGGTACACAGTGTATCCTAGATTTTTCTGTTTATACACTTAAAAGAAAAACTGGAATCATAGACATGTTTGATAATCCCCTTTTCTCATATAACAATATATATTACACCTCCACATCTGATTTCCCTACTGACTTTCAGACTTCTTTATTCCTTTGACTGCCTACTTGATCTTATTTCAAACTTATCACGGTTTAAATGGAACTTTTAATTTTCTCCACAAGCCTGTTTTCTCTGCAGTCTTTCCCATCTCAGTAAGTGGAAATAGCACCAAATTATTCAAGCTAAAAAATTCATTCTTCATTCCTCTTTCTGTCATCTGCCACACCCAATTCATCAGTCAGTTCTGTGTACAAGAACTCCAACAATATGTCTGAATTTATCCATTTCTCCCCATCTCCACTGTCAACACAAGAGTGGAAAACTTCTTTGACTATGGCAAAAGCCTCTTTTTGTCTCTGTGTGTTCTTCTTGCCTTCCACAATTTATTTTCCACACAAGTACAGTGACTATTTCAAAATGTACATTAGATCATGACACCCCTCTCCTTCAAACTAATAAATAACTTACTATTGTGCTTTAAAAACAATTTAAACTCTATGGATATAAGTTCCATATGAAAAAATTTTTTGGTGTTATAATACTTTTTTTAAAATTTATTTTGGAATAATTTTAGATTTACAGAAAAATTACAGAGTTCCCATATACCCTTCCTTCAGTATCCCCTAATGCTAATACCTTTGTTAAAACTAAGAAATTAATACTGGAGTAATACTATTTATTAACTAAATCACAGACAATCAGATTTCATCAGTTTTTCAAGTCATGTCTTTTTTGTTCTAGGATTTAATCTGATTTATCACCTTGCACTTAGTCATCACATCTCCTCCAATCTGTGACTACTTCTCAGTCTTTCCTTGTTTTTTCATCACTTTGAAACTTTTTAAGAGTAGTGTTCACATATTCTGTAGAATGTCTAGAATGTCCCTCAATTTGGGTCTGTCTGATATGTTCTCATATATGTTCTCACAGTTAGAACAGTGTTATGGATTTTGGGGAAGAGCACCACAGAAGTGAAGTTTCTTCTTATCACATGATATGGAAGGTAGGGGTAAATGATATCAACATGACTTGTCATTGGCGATACTGAACTTGATTAGTTAAGGTGATGTTTGCCAGGTTTCTATACTGTAAAGCTACTAGTTCTCCCTTTCCATACTCTATTCTTTGGAAGGGAGTCATTAAATCCATTCTAAACTCAAGGAGAGGGAAGTTAAGAAACTCTCCTGGAATGAGAAGTATCTACACATATTATTTCTTCCATTCATTTTTAATTATGAAAAAGAGAGGCAATAGCATTAAAGTAGTTTTAAAAGACAGGCGTTTATTCAAGTATTTATTTATCTAAAGGAAAAACTGTATTTGTTAAATACTCTTACCTACCAGTATCAAGATACCAAAGATCCTTGCAGCAAACCTGACTATTCAGTGCTTTTTTGTAGCCATCTCTTCCACTCCAAAAATACAATCGAGTGCCAATTGCAACAGCACAGTGTCCAGCTCTCGGTCTTGGTCTTGAATTTTTTTTATCTTCCTGAGAATCTGATACTAGGGTAGTCCACTCTGCTGTGTCTAAATAGAAATATCCATGACTAATCTATTTTTCTTAAATGACAAAATAACAAAAATTATATTTTTAATAAATGCTATTTTAATAAGTATCTCTTAAAAGACTCACCCAGATTTAGGTAAGAAAATGAACTGGTACATCTCCATTCACAATCATGAGGTGAAGTCTCAATATTTTCCCCCTTATGTGGAACCCATCCACCAAAGATGTACATCCTGAACAGCAAAAAAAAAGGAAACGTAACGTAGCTGATTGTTTCATAAAGCTTTGAAAAGCAATATTGTATGCAATATACTAAGGCTACCTCAGTCAGAAAGATACTCAAGGGATCTGTGACATCCAAAGTCAAATTAAGAATTGTATGTGTACACTAACCAAAGAGGATTTAATTTCATGTAACTCTGATCACTGGTATCTTCAAATGAAAAACTTTAAACTATGTCCCTTGGGGCCCTAGGGGTTTTGAGACATGCCAAATGGCTGCTGAAGAAGGCTCCTGAGGTGGAGATCAAGGCCATGTGGCCTCAAGCCAATCAGAGCAGCTCCGTGTTTTACCTCTTTTATACATGAGAGTTCCAATGGACAACCACCTTTTATAAAAAGGGTTCTGCTGTTTTAAAAAAATACATCTTATTAGACTTTGTTTACAGCTATTTTTAAGAGAAATTAATGAGGTTCTAAATTACAAGTAATTGTTTCCTAAACATTACTTTTAACATGAAGTCCCTACACAGGTAAATTCCTTACTTAAATTCTATTTAAACAGTAACCCTACTCCTGGCCCAATGATACACAAAAAAGGGAACTTGCTGATAATAGTAATAGCTAACCTTTATGGAATGCTTTACATACTACGCACTGTTTGAAGCATTTTATATGTATTAATCCATTCAATCCTCATAACAACCTTGTAAAGGAGGTTTTACTATCATCCACATTTTATACTTGAGGAAATTAAGTTTCCTTGCCCCAGAACAGACAGGACAAAGAATCAAAGCTGAGACGTGAATTCTAACAATCTGGTTACAGACTCCACATTCTACCCACAACTCTGTAACTATAATATCATAATGATTGTAACTCAAAATATAATCATTGAGCATACATACTAAATATATACCTGAGTACAAATCAAGCACTACCAAAAATATGTGAAAAGAAAGAGCTGGTGTGTCAAACCTGTCAATGGAGGACAGATCAGTTTGATAACACTCTGCTTACACTATGTAATACTCTCTGCAGAGTAAGGAACGTAAAGAGGTAAAAGAGGCAGCATGGTAAGAAAATGGCAGAGTAAGTACTGTAGCTTCTGTGGGCACATTATTTTAGTTTCAGTAAGCACAATCAAACATTATTAAATCATTTTCAAGAAACTTGTAGCATCACTCTTTTTTGTATGTATCTTTCTTAAGCTTGTTAAAAGAAAAAAAAAAGTAAGACCAAAAACCAAAAAAATACCATACTTGTTTCCTATAATGCTGGCTGTATGAAGACTTCGTGGAAGTGGCACTGTCCCTTTAGTTTCTGGTTTTGACCATGCCATAGTTTCTAAAAGTAAAAATAAGTATATGAGCAACTTAATGTAATAACAGCAAATTACCTCAATTTGTAGAATTAAAAAAAAAAGAGAACTTACCAAAAGGAAGCAAAAATGTTTCAAAACCATTACTTAATTTCATCTTAAAATATACATCTCCAGCTGACATAAACTGCCAATATCAGAGATCTATTTACACTTGAATGATAGTATATACAATGGAGAGGTGCACCTAGGGTGTCACCGGTTTTGAATCAAAACCAAGATCAGGGATTTTAACATCTGAAGTAAGAACACATTGCGTAGAAGACAGTCATAAGTGAGAGCACTCGTACTCTCCAATCATCCATTCCTAGGATCCCTTTAAAAGAGCTACGCAAGGGTTTTCACTGCCCAGCAGCAGTATTACTAATGCCACACACATTTCCTCTAGACAGAGTAACCACATAAATTCGACCATCCTCATCTGGAACACTTTACAAAGTGAAAGGAGGTGCTACTGATAATTACATGGGACAGTAATTAAGCATAAATCAGGACCATCCAAGGCAAGCCAGAACATATGGTGATCCCACTTATAGGGAGCACAGGAGAGTTACTGTCATAAATCAAACATTTATTTGTTCAACCTGACTGATCAGCAACCATTCATATCAAATCTAAGTACAACTCAATAAATACTGTAATCAAAAATATTTTTCAAGGCAATTTTTATATTTGCCTTTATCAGTCATAACCAGTTCCTAAGCCTGAATCAACTGAAGCTTACCTAAGTCAAGTTGCCATAGGTCATCCAGACGAGCACCACACATTCCACCAAAAACATACATTTTAGGACTTCCAGAATCTCTTTTGCAATATATAACAGCTGTGTGGGATTCTCTGGGAGAAGGCACAATCCCTTTAGTCACTGGTATGCTCCAACCCACAACACCAGAACCATGCTGTAGCTCCAACTCATAGAAATCATTTAAGTATCTAGGATGTAATGAAAGAAATTAAAACATTAACATGGTCTAAACCTTTTATTTACTTTTAGTTTCTATTTATAAAGATAATGTATGCTTCCAGTGAAAAATGCAGGTAGTATAGAAATGCATTAGGAGAACAGAAATCCCATATCTTACTCATTCAACACATATTTATCAAACACTACTGTGCACCAGGCACTCTTGTGGGGATCAGTAGACAACTGAAGAAATTTTAAAAATTCCTGCCATCATTTAGCCAACACTGTTATCCATGAAAATACCATGATGGTTTCAAAACATAGCCACAAATTTTCTGACACTCTTCTCATCAGAAGCTAGGGTCTATGTCCCCTCCCCTTGATGCTGGGCAGGCTGTGACTGCTTTGACTAACAGAGTATGATGAAATGACACTATGTGACTACTGGGGCTCAGTCACAGAAGGCCAATACAGCTTTCCTATAGAATGCCTCCTCACAGAAATCCCAAACCACCATTTAAGTCCAACTATCACAAAACCACCATCTGGAGAGGTCATGTGTGGGCACACAGGATGACAATTCCAGCTGAGTTCATCCTCCAGCCATCTCAGTTGAGGCATCAGACATGAGAGTGAGCATTCAAGCCTTCTCATCTGATGGCCTAGCCATCGCTGCTGTGTACTTCATGAATTCCCAGTGCACAGAATCCATGAGCATAACAAAATGGTTGCTAGTGTGCATCACTAACTTTTGGGGCAGTTTATTACATGGTACTAGATAACCAGAACAATCACTATTGACAATAGTTAGTAAATACCCTTTCAGATCTCTTTCTATGGATATCCACATTTGTATCAATGAGGGATACTACCAATGTTGCTTTGCAACTTTTTCTTTAAAATTTTCATTCTATAATGTCATAGCAATGCCCTACATAGCTTTTTCACTTTAGAAATAGGCATTAAATGTCTCATCTGTGACATGGATGTTTTGAGCAAAATGGCTTTTATAGGAATCTATTCCTTAATGAATTGAGTAATCAAATTATTATTCAAGTATGAAGGCAAAATTAAACATATTTAGAATATATAAAACTTCAAAGCTTAGCCATGTAATTGTTTGGGGGAAAAATGATTCTAGATCATCTGGGAAAAATAAAAAGAAATCCAAGAAAGAATACATTGAATAAAAGAAATGGTAATGCAAAGAAAATAGTAATTTATAATTAAATTTAAATTGATGTTGATAACTGTAGCTGTGAGGTTTAAATAATCACTAAGAAAGGCTGACAAAAATTAATTTCTTAACATTATTGTAATCTGGAGTAAGATCCACGACTATGAAACACTTGTAAAAAGGGGGTAAGCAAAAAAAGGCTAAAGGCAAACATAGTAATCTATTCCCAAAGACGACAAAGCATCTTCAGTTTAAATGTGTGATAATTTCCAAGCAACTAAGAGAAGCACAGAATCAGCATGTGTAATTTTCAAATCATTCAAAGGAAAGAAAGAATCAAAGAAAAACGATAAATCAAGAAAAAGGAAGGAGAGGGAAAAAAAAGCAAAGCATCGTCTATGGAAATAAGATGGTTAGGAAAAAAACGCTATATAAACAATATCAGGAGAAAAGACAAACTAAAAACAAATTTGATACACATAACAGAAAGAGATCAATTTTCCTTAATATCAAGAGTTCCTACAAAACCAAGATAATGATAAATCATACAACATAGATAAAAGGATACAGATAGACAGCTCACAGAACAGGAAATACAAATTATCTAAATGTGTGAGTATACACATACATAAAAGATATGTAAACACACATATACACGTAAATATTCAACCTCATCACAATTTTTACAAATCTAGCAAATGCAAGAATATAGGTGTGGGGAAGCAACAGCAAGAAGAGTAGATGGAAGACATAAAATTACAAGGGCAGGAAAAAACTTCCTTACTATAAGACAAAGTCTCTTAGGGGTAGGGAGTATGCAGGGGAAACAAAATAAAAGAACTAGGAACCCAGCTATAAGCTATTAATAGCAAGGATGATATTAAAACTATTTAACAAGTGATATGGCATAGACTTAAACAGATCAAAATGAACGCCAGCCAGTATGCTATACCAATTTATACTGGCTAATTGTTAGTCCTATTTACAAAAGATAAGTCTATAACAAAATAATATACACAGGTTGAAATCAGACACACAGGGAACAAAACACAAATTCACAATCACACTGGGAGATTTTTAACACATCATTCAGAAGTTGATATGACCTAGATTCATAAAATAAAAAAAGCTTTTTGAGTAATGATTTAAAACACTGACTTAATAAACTTGTACCCAATCAAGAACTCACAATCTTTATGAACATTTATGGAATAATTATAAAAACTGACTGTGAAAAACACCACAAAAACAATTACTAAAAAGGAGAAACCCAATAGACTACAATTTTTTACCTCAGTATAATAAAACTAGATATTAACAATAATAACAAAACTTTCCATTTGGAAATTTTAGAGAATTATGCCGAATTACCTTTGGATTAAAGAGAAAAGAGAAATTAATGACAAGAAGAGCACTATTATCAAAACCTATAAAATATGTCCAAGCTGTAAACAGAAGAAAATGTGTAGCATTTATTAGGAAACACTACTAAAATAAATAAACTAACAAGCATTCAGATTATGAGAAATTAGAAAAAGCTTAGAAAAAAAAGTTAGAAAAAGCATTCAACCTATTAAAAGTTTAAAAGAAGTTAGGAAAAAGGAAAAATTTAGAGATGTGAAATAGAGTTAAGGAAATAAAAAAGAAAAACAGATCATTAATAAAACTAAAAATGGTTCATTGGAAACACCAATAAAATAACAAACCACTAGCAAATCTGATCAGAAAAAAGAAAAAACAATACATATATTTAAGAATGAGAAAAGAGATAAAACTACACAGAGATTTTAAAGATATACAGAGAATTGTCTTATAGTTTTTCTCAATAAATTTAAAAATCTAGACGAGGTAGATAATTTTTCAAGGAAAATATAAATTACCAAAATGACTCAAGAAAAGGTAGAAAATGTAAACAGATCAGTAACTATAAGAGATATTGAAAAGGCAGTCAAAACTCCTAAATTATAATACCAATACCAGACAATTATGGGAAATTTCTACTAAATATTCAAGAAATAATGTTATTTAAGCATAATGAAAGATGGAGAATTTCCCATAATCTCAGAGCATAACCTTAATTATGCTCCCAGGGGTAACATAATCCTGACACTCAAGTCAGATGAGAATAATATTTCACTTCCCGAAATAAAGACAATGTAGACAAACAAATAACTATATATAGTATAAGTAAATGTTAGCAGGGTAAACTCAGTAAAGTGTGAAAATAACACTAACATAATAAAGTGGGGTTTAACTAGGAATTAAAAGGTAGCTCATATTCCAGAACCTAATTATAATAATTCACAAAATTAATGGGTTAAAGGAAAGAAATAGTAAGCTCATTTCCATACCTGAAATGAATTAGAACTATTTCAACATCCATTTTTGGTCCAAAAAAGAGAAAAAAATGAATTAGCAAACTATAGATTTAAGAAAACTTCCTTATATATGTGGAATTAAAAAAACATATAACAAACTAGTAAATATAACAAAAAAGCAGACTCACAGATATAGAGAACAAACTAGTGGTTACCAGTGGGGAGAGGGAAGGAAGGAGGGCAGCAATATAAGACTAAGGGATTAAGAGATACAAACTATTAGGTACAAAATAATCTATAAAGATATACTGTACAACATGGGGAATATAGCCAATATTTTACAATAACTATAAGTGGAATATAACCTTTAAAAATTGTGAATCACTACATTGTACACCTGTAACATATAATATTGTACAGTAAGTATAATTCAACAACAAAAATATAGAGAGAGAGAAATTTTAAAGAAAGAAAACTTCCTTAATCTGACTAAAGGCATATGCTAGAAGTCTATAGCAAACATCATAATTGATGATAGAAAGGTAAACATATTAATGAAACAGAATAGAGTGTAGAACAAGAGTTGACAAACCTTCTGTAAAGAATCACAGAGTAAATATTTTAGGCTTTACAGGCCATAAATTCTGCCACAACTACTCAATTCTGCTCTTTTAATACAAAAGCAGCCAGAGACAATATGTAAATGAATGATATGGCTGTGTTCCAACGAAACTTTAACTAGCAGAAACAGGCAGCAGGCCAGATTTTTGCCTACAGAATGTAGTTTGTACCCCTGGTCTAAAGAACCTAGAAAAAGACCCATTTATATGAAAATTCAGATATGACAGAGATGGGATTTCAAAAGTGTAGGAGGTGGATGGCTTATTTAATAAATGGCGGTGGGAGAACTGAAAACCCATTCTGAAGAAAAAGCAAAAAGCCTTACACTAGTCACAAAAATATATTCCAAATGTATTAATATTTTAAACAAAAAACAAAGCTGTGAAGGTACTAGAAGAAAATATAGAAAAATTATTTTCATAGTGTTGGGATAGAAGAGATTTCCTAATAAGCAAGATATAAAGCCAGAAAGCCATTAAAAAAGTATATTGCCAAACTTGATGAAACAAAAATGAAAATCCTTAAAAAGCAGGGGGAGGGGGGAGGCAAACAGAAGACTTGGGAAAAATATTTGGAACATATAAAATATAGACAGAACTCCGAAGAATCAATAATAAAAATGAAAAACTGAAATCCATGAAAATATGATCAGAAATAATAAATAAATTCAGCAAGGTTACAGCATACAAGATCAATCTACAAAGACAAACTATATTTCTACATCCTAGCAATGAACAATTCAAAAATGAAATTAAGAAAACAAGTCTATTCACAATGTCATTCAAAAGAATAAAAACTTAGCAATAAATTTAACAAAATAAGAGCAAGACTTGTACATTGAAAACCTCAAAATATTGCTGGAAGACTCAATAAGACAGCAACTTTCCACAAATTGATCGATATATTCAACACTATCCCTATCAAAATCCCAGAACTTTTCGCAGAAATTGGCAAGCTGATCCTACAATTTACCCAGAAATGCAAAGAATTCAGGATAGACAAAACACTCTTTTTTTTTTTCCTTCTCCCACTACCACAAATTACACAGTCGAGTCTCCCACATTTGGGGAAATTGCAGGGGTCAGCACATCTGGAGTGCAATGGATAATCCTTGCCCTGGGAAAACCACCTTTGTGATCATGGTATCTCCCCTGCTAGGTAAGTGTACAGACAAAACACTCTTGAAAAAGATAATAAAATTTGAGAACTTAACATCTTCCTATTTCAAAACTTACTACAAAGGTATCATAATCAAGACAGTATGGTACTGGCATAAGGCCAGATATACAGATCAGTGGAAAAGAACTGAGAGTCCAGAAATAAACCCTTGCATTTATGGCGAACTGATTTTCAACAAAGATGCCAAAGCAATACAATGGGAAAAGGATAATCTTTTTAACAAACAGTATTGGGACAACTGGATAGCCACATGTAAAAAGATGTATTTATTAGATACTCACTTTACCCCAGGCATAAAAATTACCTCAAAATGAATCACAGATAAAAAAATGTAAGAGCTAAAACTATAGAACTTTTAGGAGAAAACAGAGGAACAAATCTTCATCACCTTGAGACAGGCAAAGAGTTCTTAAAAAGGATGCTAAAAGCATAATCCATAAGAGAAAAAATGGATAAACAGAACTTACCAAAAGTAAAAACTTTATGTTCCAAAAGATACCATTAAGAAAATGAAACGACAGGCTACAGACTGGAAGAAAATATTTGCAAATCATGTATCTGATTTTTTTAAAAAGCAAACTTGCATCTAGAATATATAAAGAACTCTTACAATTCAATAATATGAATACAAACAACTTAACTTTAAAATGAACAAAGATTTGAATAGAAATTTCACCAAAGACACACGTCTGACCTGAGTGCCTGATGTCCAATGATGTATTTTTAACATAATAAACCTTTACTGAGCACCAAAAAAAAAAAAGAAAAAAGAAATTTCACCAAATAACATAAACAAGTGGCTAAAAAGCCTATGAAAAGATGCTCAGCATCATTAGTCATTAGGGAAATGCAAATTAAAACCACAACGAGATACCACCTTATACCCACTAGGCTGGCCACAATCAAAGATAGACGGTAACAAGTGTTAGCAAGGATGTAGAAAATTTGAAACACTCATACATTGCGAATGTAAGATGGTAGTCACTTCAGAAAACAGTCTTAGTGCTTAAGAAGTTAAACCTAAATTTACTGTATGACCCAGCAACTCTACTAGTAGGTATCTAACCAAGAAAAATGAATACATATACATACAAAGACTTTTGTATGCAAATTATCAAAGCAGCATTATTCATAAAAGCCAAAAACTAGAAACAATCCAAATGTCTGTCAACTGATGAATAGATAGACAAAATGTGATGTATCAATACAACTCAGCAATAAAAAGGAAGAAATATTTGATATATGCTACAACATGGCTGAACCTCAAGAACATTATGCTAAGTGAAAGAAGATAAATGCAGAAAATCACATTTATATGGAATATTCAGAAAAGGTTAACCTATGGAGACAAAAAGTAAACTGGCAGTTGTCCAGGAATCGTGATGGGAATAGGCACTGACTGCAAATGAGTAAGAAGTTTCTTTTTGGATTGATGGAAATGTTCTTAAACTGGATTGTGGTAATGGTTACACAACACTGTAAATTGCTAAAAATCATTGAATTGTACATATTAAAAGGATGAATTTAATGGTATATAATTTATACTTTAATTCTTTTTAAAAAAGAAAAATAAAGCTTTGAACAATTTCAGAAAAGGAATTGTAAATGTCCAAAAGCATTGTTAATCAAGCTCATTCCTAGTTTAAAAATAAATAAATAAATCAAAATAATCCCATGAAATGTATTTCATTGATTGTGTTAGGAAAAACTAAGAAGAGTGAGACGATTCAGTATTGCCAAGGGTGTAGGCACTCTTATACACCACTATTGGGAATATAAAACAGCTCTGTCTCTTTGGAGGTTGTTTCAGGAGTACCTAACAAACTTAAATGTACCCTTTGACCACCCTCTCAATTCCACTTATATAAGTATCAATCCTATAAAAATTATTTATACATGTGCAAAAACTGTAATAGCAAAATAATGGAAATATTTAAATGTCCATCTGTAGAGGAATGGTTAAATAATTTGCATAACTGACTACTTTTCAGCCTTTAAAAAAAATAAGGTCAATCCATATCTACTTTCATGTAAAGATCTCCAACATATACTGTTAAAGGTAAAAGCAAACAAACAAAAAACCAAACAAGTAAACATCCAAAGTCATAAAGCAAAAAGAATGATCCCACTTTTATAAAGGAAAATACATGTCTGTGTAGGATCAGATTAATGTTCCCAACTCTCCTCTCCTAACAAGCACAATAAACATCCTTGCATCATCGACTCAGGTCTTAGCCTTATGGCTTGCTTTGACCAATGGAATGTCAAAGGAAATGAACTTGCTAGCTTTAAAAGAGGCTTTAAAAAGCATCACATGTATCTAGTTGCTCCCTCAAGCAGCATAAACTTGAGAAGTTTGCCCTTAACACAACTGAAAGCTGATTAATGTGTTACATGGAAAAGGTCCCAAAAGATACACATGGAGTTGAATTATGCGTGTTTGCCTATGTTGAGAACAGTGATACTAAGAGAAATAACTTTGTATACTTTCTAATTTCTTGAATTTTATGAGTCTGTATCTAAAAAAATCTGTTAAATGGAAAATTGAGAAAAGATGTGCTAAAAGTATCTGGATTCGTGTGGTGGGATAATTTTTTTTCCTTTTCTGCAGTTTCCAAATTTTCCATGATGTTTTACTATATGTTATTTTTTAAAGTTTGAGGGGAAAAAAGCTAATTCTAATATCAAACTAATGAATCTTACATCGGTAAAAAGACATTATTGTGGTGATGATAACTACTGATGTTGATGGTAACTTGAAAGTGCTTTTAAAATTATGCCAATGATGTTATTTAGCGGTCACAATGGCACTGAAAGTAGGTATTTAATCACTCCCATTTCACAGTGAAGGAAAACAGGCTTAGATCACTTCCTTTAAAGGACATACACGGTAAGCAATGAATTAGAAAAGAGCCTTTTTAGACACTAAATCTCCAAATCTCACATCCTATAATGACCATGTGATCAAAACACTATACAAAAAGAAAAGAGGCAGTGATTAATTCTATTTGCAAAAAGTGGGAGAGGATGGGTTCAAAAATTATTAGCATGTGTAAGACACTCTAACAGCTTCCTACATAAGAAACGTATTGGCCTTCATTTATAGTCAGATTTTTGTCACCAAATTCCCAGAGAAATCTAATTTGAAAATAACCATGTTACTTTTCATTACCACTTACGACAACTAAATTACTTAATGGCTTAACATGTACAAATATACTGCTACAAGCAGTTATATTAACAACAATTTAATAAGATGATTTCTGATTAGAAAAGGCATAATTTTGAAAAACAGATATATTTTAGGACTAAGGAAAACACAAATGGAAACAAATTTATTCACTGTTAGGTTTAAATGCAAAAGACTAAGCTTCACCCTTTTAATAATTAAATATGGGAAATTAAACATCCTTAATCTAAATCATAAAATAAACATTTAGTCTGAAAAAATGTCGGCATACCTGGGAACATTATTGTTTGAATCTTCACTTTCATTTGCTAAGCCACCAAACAAATAGCATTTGTTACCATATAAAGAGAAGCTATGTCCTAGCCGAGGACAAGGAGGTAAACCAGAAGAAGGGGGATGGGGTTTCACTTTTTTCCATAACCAACGACTTGCCTAAAAAAGAGCATAAATAAACTCAGACAAAATCAGGAAAGTATTCCTATATGGTCAACAGTGTAACATCATACCAATACATTTTAATCCGAATCCAGTCAGGTTTCAAAAAGGTACTCTGGAGACAAATGACAAGTAAGCATTTGGAATCAAAATGAATGTTGCAATAGAAATTCAGTCTAGTCATTCATATTCACAGCTTTCCACAATGGCAAGCTAAGCTTATAAAAATAAACACTAGCAGTTCTAAAATATTTGTCGAAATGAAAAATTCAACATTATTTACAGCTTTAAGATTAAATGTAATTTATGTACTCTCACTTTTTGAAATTAGGTAATCCATGACTGGTATTTATTTTAACCTTTAAATAAGCAATAAAGATCATTACAAACCAAACTCCAAAACTTATTCTCTTGCCATGGATGCTTTATCTGAAACTATTTTTTTAAAAATTTTAAATGAACTGCTTGTAAATAGACATAATCCACCTACGTCTGCCAACTACCAGATACCCTCATGATTATAGCCCCGGGAATATATGCACAGTTCAGGAATAAAAGTTCAGAGATGTCACAGAAATCTCTGAGTCTGGTTTATTAGAGAGTCAAATTCAGAAAGGCTATTTGAAATTGTTACCCCTTTTGCATGTTTTGCCAGAAAAGAAAAAAAAAGTGATTATTAATGTGAGGGTAACAATTTCTATAACTAAGACAGAAGTTTTCAAAGGATGGTCTGGAGACCAACAGCATTAGGTGGGAATTTGGTGAGACGCAAGTTGTGAGGCCCTACTGCAGAGAATCTTGATTCAGAAACTCTGAGGGCGGGGGCCAGCAATCTGTGTTTTCACAAACCCTCCAGGTGCTTCTGCTGCGGGCTAAAGTTGAAAAACACTGCACTAAGATACAAAAGGCCAAACATATGACACGTACAATTGATGCTAAGTAACAGGTATCTTAACGTTACAAATGTTGCATTGGATACTGGAAAAAGACTTACATTAGAAACTTTGGCTAAAAAAAGTTTTCTTTGATGCTATAAAATGTGAAGCTCACACTATTTTAAGTATGTTAATGAAATATTTTGCAAAGAATTTCAAAGAATTATAAACACAATCGTTAATAAAGCTTCAGCTTGAGATAATAAACTTGAAAGACACTTACTTGTAACTCATATAACTCATTGCTGTATCTTCCATATTCAACCATTCCCCCAAATACTAATATTCTGGTACCATCACAGACAAATCCATGGGCAGCGCAGCCTGGAGGGATGTCTCCTCTAACAGCTGGTAGGAACCACTGATTTGTAACTAGTTGCCAAAATAAAATTAAAAACAATTATAAAAAAACAGTTATCACAAACTATGAGTATGTACTTTTATATGTATCATCTATATCAGTGGTTATTGGGAATAATTTTGCCCCAAGGGACAAACAAAAAAATTTTGGTGTCACATCTGGTGGGAGGGGGGAGCTACTGGAAACTGGTGGGTAGATGCTAGCGATGCTGTCAAACATCTTAGTGAATACAGTGCAGCCCCCTACAACAAAGAAGTCTCCCTTTCAAGTGTTGATAGTGCTGCTGTTGAAAAACCCTGATCTATATAATTTAATTTCTCACAAAAATCCTACTTGGTGAGTATCATCCTCTCCAGTCTACAAGCGAAAAATCTGACACTTAGGTTTACTAACTTTAGCGCTGATTCTGGGCAACTGGCAAAGAGAAATTCAAACCAGGTCTAACTTATTCCAAAGCCAAGGTTTTTACATGACACTAAGTTATTAACTAACTTTTAAACTTTTTATGCTGGGGTGTCAGGAGTAGGAGAAGGTGAAAAAATAAAATTCCCTCTACATCACCATTTTATTAATTTTTAAATGACACTAAGATTAAGTTGTTTGGTCAAAGAAAAGTTACTGATCATGACATAGACCCAAAATTCATTAATTAAACTTACACCAAGCAAACAGCTTTCTCATGATAGCTGGCGCATTTATAAGTGAAAAAAAATGAAATCCCAACCTCCTTTCTATTCCACGGAGGTACTCAAAAGCAGGGCTTCCCTGGCTGGGGGCATTTCTGATTTGCAGCGACGCTCAAGCTGACAGTACTCTTTCCGAGCGCTGCACTGATGAGCTTGGGCACACACACACAGTCATGCAAAGACAGGAGCGGGTCTCACCCATGAACCACTTCTCCGTCAGTTAAGAGGGCTACCAATGGGGTAAAAATCTTGACTGCACCTGCCAGATACCGGGTTGTTTTTGTGGTTTAAGTACTAGAAGGCCTCTCGCTTTTCCTCCTCATCCCCACTATATTCTCTTCCTCCCACGGAAGGAAGGAAGGAAGGCAAAGACAGGAAAGGCCC